ATAAATATGCATGTAGCATGTTTTGGAGTAACAATTGTCAAGTATGAAAGTTTTGGTCTTTCAGAAATATGAAAGTTTAGAAAGGGGTTCTTTCAGAACACGCCCTATATAGCATTGATGTGGAAGAGAGAAAAATATGTTAGGAATGAGAATGATGAAAATGACCAATACCTCAAGCTAAGGCTATGGGTAGTGGACTCGGCATTGACTGAGCTCGACAAACACCATACATTGAATTCGGCATGCCGAGCTTGACAACCCAACTCGATAACGCCTCGTAGAGGAAAGAGAGTCTTTTTTCTCCCTCTCTTCTCCCTCGCTCGACACCCCACCCCCTCGGTTCTCCCTCTTTTATGCCTATCTTCTTCCCAACTTGGCAAAACTCTTCCCTTCCTTGCTAGAGCTGGGTGGAGTATGTCATGTGCATCACCTCTCCCCTCAACCTTCTTGATGTTACAATGTGTGCATAATTAAACTCTTGTAGGAATGATAGAGACATGAAAACCTTTTTCGTATGATGAATACAAAGTAATTAAGTAAAGAAACCCTTTGTTAGATTTGCTTCCTAATGAAGAAACCATATAAAGAAGAATCGAAAAATTGGCCTAAATAAAAGGGTTTAAACAAAGATTTTAGGTTTAAGCCAAATATAGATTCTTCTATAAATTAAAAAAGAAAAAAGGATTACGGTAGAAGCATAAACAGAGCAAACAAGGGTTTTGGTGTTACGGAGTCGGGGAATTCGCCTTGTGATTTCTTGGAAGTTTAGAGGTACGTACTTCCAAACCCTAGTTTTCCATCATCCATGCATTGATTTATCAACTTTCACATGCTAACTTTACAATTTTGAGACCAGGGCAATAGGGCATTCGAGTTTCACCCTTAACGTTGATTTTACTTTTGAGATACTTTTGAATCATTATCCTTGCTCAGTTGATTGGAACTTAATAGATCAAGAGAATTTTTAATAAGCAAAAGACTATACTATCGAGAGAAGATGTCTTTTTCTTCTTATATTAGAGCTTTTGTTTGTTGTATCAGCTGTTTAATTTCAATGATGTACGGAGTAGTTGATACTTATATCAATACTGCATTACTAACAAAAAAGACTACAACCTCTGTCCCCACCGTTTTGATTTTTAGAAGTGCTACCTTCTGCAGTTCGAATTCTAAGATTAGCACGGATGGTTGAGATTTTTAGTTTTATTCGTTGTCTATTGTTATAGTGATATATAGTTGATGATTGTTTAATGTAATCATCATGTTTATCTGTAATCAAAATAGTTCTTAATAAGTCTGGAAGTTGCTTAAATAACCCATTTGACATTATTGTTATTATCATAATGTCAGTCGATATTTTCTACCCTTTAATTGGTGATCCTATTATTGGTTTATCAAGATGCTTTTGGATTCCTGCCAAAATCCTGTGTAAGATCTAGATTCTTGTCACATTTTTGGATACTTAATTTCATTAGCAGAATAGAGAAGAAAGCATGGTTTCATCATGAAATCTATGTTAGTCAGAATAACATATACATATGACGTATCGGCTAGCTAGAAGAGTTATTAAATTTGCAAACAACCTTAATACATATACAGAAGTGATAAAAGTATTCAAGATGTGATTTGATGAAATTAACGATGTTAGAAAATAGAATTTTGTTAATGAGACCATGAAAATGATAAGACCAACCTTATAACGAGCACTACCTGATGGATTATGCATTATAATTGTTGTGTCCTTATCTGTGTTCCATATTTAGTTGTATTAGGACTCAACTTGTATAATAAGACGTATTCTTATCCATTATCGAAGTAATTGATTTAAATTTTACATTTGAAGTGCAGACTATCATTCGAGTTACAGCAAACAATGAACTTTTATCACACTAAATATAGACGAGCAAACGAAGATAGATTGAGCAGCTTGCCAGATGAGTTATTCATAAGATCCTTTCTTGTCTTGATATGAAATTTGTTGTTCAAACGTGTTTGCTGTCATCAAGATGGAAGCTTCTCTGGACAACAATGCCTTATCTCAACTTCTCAAATTATCATTTTGGCTCTTTACTACGCAAGTTTTCCAAATTTGTGACTCATGTTCTTTCTCACCGCAACAATCAAGTAGACGTGTCTTTGGTAAAGCTACGATTCGAGGATGCAGTTAGTCAGGTTATTGTGAAAAGGATTGCAAATTATGCGTTCTCTCACAATGTCCAAGAACTAACTATTGAAAGTTTTTCCCCATACCAATCATACTACCCTAGAAAATACCCTTCTTGTCTATTTATCTCTCGCTCTCTTAAACATTTCACATTTAGTAGCCCTTTTTCACCTTGCGTTACACCCAAAACACCTTGGGATTTTCCAGCTTTAACAACTTTGCATCTCCTTCACATCAAATTGTGTGATGCTCTCACTCAAGAGTCTCTTGATCTTTTCTCCAAGTGTGTAAACTTAAAGAACCTCACTTTAGATATTTTCACTGTCGAGGATGTGGGTGTATTGGACATCATTACCCCTCGACTTTCTACTCTCACGCTTATCTATGGAAGATGTTCAGAATTCGTTAATCTGGTTGCACCTCAACTTGAGAAACTTAAAGTAATTAATTGCTCATTCAAGTACTTGAATGCTCCACCAGGACTTTCATTATTGTACTACAGGGGTCATTGCCCTCCTGCTGAGTTGTGTAAAGACCGATTTCACTCTCTAAACAAAGTAACTATCTGTTTGTATCTTGAGAGTCCTTATAAGGAAGAAGATGCTCGCAAGTCTATTAACATGCTTCAAAAGCTCCATAGTGCCAGATATCTCACACTTAATGCAGACATTATTGAGGTATGTTGATATCATAGCAGTCATTTATGAAATACTTGATATAAAGAACGTGTAATGTGTATACAATCTATGTCTTTTTATCCATCTTTAATGTATATATGTATTTTTTGCAGTGTATTTCCTCATTTCCGGATTTATTGTTGCACCATTCTTCACCTTTTAGCAACTTAATTTGCTTGAAAATAGACTCTGGCGTGAGGAAGGATGTATGCCAAGTAAACATGTCTACTGAAGCTAGAAACTTCTTTCTTGACAACTCTCCAAACGCAACAATCATCATGGAATTAACTACGAATTTTGGAGATTCTTTTTGACTCATGTATTATATATTATAGCATCAAATATCTATAGTTTTCCAGGTGATTAGGTTACAATTACCAACATGAAAGATAATAGTCCCACATCTTACTTCTAGTGGAAACCATTAGATAGATATAAGATTCAGAACACAAAAAGTCGTTTCATATGAATTAGACAAATTATAGACCTTTCACCCAAAAATCATGCAACCTACTTTCATTAATTTATTTTATTATAGCATCCTACTATTCATTTTTTTTCCTGTTTTAGCATTGTACTTTCAAAAGTGTACCCAATTATAGAACTGACATGAAAAGATAAAGGGTTACCATCATCTTCAAGGAAAGATTTGTTGTTTACTATTACCATGTAGATTAATCACACATACGTAAAGACAAAGTGGTTAAATGTAACAAAACAGATGCCTCAAGAGAAGTAAAGTGGTTAAATGAAACAAATATGAATGTATTTTCATTTATTCGTGTATTATAGTATCAATATTTTCATTTATTTCTATTAAAATATTTTACTTTCTATTTTTGAATTAGTCTCCATGTCTTGCGTATGAACTATGAAGGCGCATAAAGTTTTATATTGGGTGTACAATATTATCGTTTATAAAAACAAGATTCAAATATGTATTATCATTATGAACTTTTTTATTTTTTACTTATTAAGAAAACTTATAAAGAAGTTATAAAGTAAGTATCAACATATGTTAAACCTTATGTGGTTTTGGATTGGGTTTGATTCATATTAGATTGGAAAAGATATCACGGATTTACTTGTCAAATGAATTTGGAGGAATTGGAATGTGAATTTCAGTAAATATTATGCTTTGGAAGAGATGTGCCCTGCGAAAATGTAGTTTTTCCCCGAATTTTGAACCTTCATAACTCTTTTATACGAAGTTTGTTTGGGTTGATTTTTTTTCATTGTGTTCTCTGTAACCTATTCATGGACATATCACACTCCAAATTTGGATGTTGGGTAAGTCATACTTTTTAGGTCCAAAGTAGGCTCCTCGGTGAAGAATATGAAAAAAACCAAAGTTTAAACCTTCATAACTCTTTTGTACGAAGTCTGTTTGAGGTGTTTTTTTTTCGTTGTGTTCTATGTAACAAGTTCTATCTGTGGAAATGTGACATCATACTACAAATTTGGAGGTTGGGAAATAATAATTTTTAGGTTGAAAGTAGGCCCGGTTATAAAGGAAGGGGGGAGGGGGGGGGGGGGGGCGGTGGAGGGCAAGGTGGGAATGTGCACATGACCCAAATTTTTTAGGGGCTCAATTTTTTTTTAAAAAACTATATTTAGGAATTCCTCTAATTAGTGATGAGCATAGAATCGGAACCGGCCCAGGAACCGAACTTGGTGGAAATAGGAACTGAACCGCCGGTTCTACCGGTTCCGGTTCCTACCGGTTCTTGCCGGGTCTTCAATGTTGGAACCGATCCTCGAGAAATAACAACATATTTTGAGAAACATTTAGGTTACGGTTTCGGTCTTTGCCGGTTCTACCGGTTCCGGTTCCTACTGGTTCCGAGTTCCAAAAATCCACAAGAATATCGTCCCGGTCCCGGACCAATCGGTTCTATCCGGTTCCGGTTCTGGTACCGGTTCCGGCTGGTTCCCTGGTCCAAATGCTCATCTCTACCTCCAATTGCTCAGTCCACACCCAAAGGCAAAGGCAGACGTGATCATTCAAGGCTTCAAGCGAGGGTTGATTAACGATCATATGACGATCGATTACCAGCCGTCCACTCCTGCAGTCCTGCTAATCATCTAATCGATCATTCAATCAGACAGGTTATGGAACCTTGTTATTTTTACCAGAAATGGTTTTGCGTTCAATTTTTACTAAACCTCATTATTGGATCACTTTTAGCTTTTGGAATGTAAAAACCCTAATGTCAGTTTTAGTGTAAAGATACGTCGTTAGATGTGGGTGTTTAGCAATTTAAGAACATGTCGTCAAGCTCCGACAGCTAGGCAATAGATTTACGAAGGAGCTAGAAAAGTTGGAAAGAAGTTTACCTTGAAAGAATGAAAAATGTATAGATCCCGACTTATTGTTTCTTTTCTTTTCTCCAATGGTTGGTAACAAAAAATATAGTTTGTAGCTACTAGTTTTCAAATAAAGCAATAAATAGCTAGGTTTGTCATGAAAAAAATTCAACTGGAGCGTGTAAGTGCTTATAGAGAGAAGATTGAGGCATTTATTAGATAATATGGTAGGTGTTAGAAATAAAAAGCTTATATGACCAAATATAGATACCAAAGGAAGTACTTCTGATTGACATTAATTAATCTTCTTACTGTATAGAATTTGGTTGACATGGGTTTTGCCCTTTCTTTTTCTTTTTATAATGTGTATAATTTTTTTTTCAAAGACATGCTTGATCATATCTTACATGTCTAGGGCCGGCCCCGAGATTTTGGAGACCCCATGCGATTTGACAAAAAAATAGGCCCTTTGGATTCTTCTTGGAATCTTGGTTCTATATGTTGGGACTCAAGCAATAAAGGGTATAAAACTGTAAAAAAAAAAACAACATAAACTTATCACATAGAAAATCATAAATTTATCAGATAGCAAATTAAAAATTTATCAGCAATAGATCAAAAATTTATCAGACAGAAAATCAGAAACAGATAGAAACGAATAAAGGGTACTTTCTGATTGTCGTCACTTCAAATCAACAAGAAAGAATATAAAAACTATAAAAAAAAGATAGAAATCAAATCATAACTTGATCAGAAAGACATAAACGAAACAGAAACTGATTTACATCTTAAAACTTAATAAGAAATGAAACAGAAATGGATGTGCTCGTTCAAAACTTATTAGAACTTATTAGAAACGAAAAAATAGAACTTGATTTGCTTGTACCTTCAAAACTTAGAAATCGACTTCCTCAATGCCTTTCCTTCTGATTTTTCGAAACTGATGTGCTTAATGTTCTTATTCCTCTGATATTCAAAACTCAATTCTTGTTCCTTCAGAAATTAGAAATAAAAAAATTAAGCAAAATAAAAAGAAGAACGTGTAAAGAGAGAAGTGAATAACATGAAACCAAAGTCCACAAATCCAAAAATTAGAAATACCGTAATCCCTATCTTCTATCCTTCTCCTTCTGATTTCGAAACCACAAGTCCACAACATGAAATCTAATTTTCGAGAAGAGAGAAATGAAGAATGAGTTTTCTGAGTTTTGAGAAAGAATGTAGGATCATTTGTACTTTGTAGCTCTGTTTTAGAAATCAGAATTTCGTGATGAAAGATGAAAGAAGAAGATTGTTCATAGCTTTGCAGATTTAATTCCTTTGCATATCTAAGCAAGCAATATTGTTGCACTTTTAATTCCTATCCCATGCATAAGAAAAGAAGAAATCAAAGCGTTTTTCTTTTCACAAAGTTGTCTCTTTTTCCTGCTCCTTCTTGCGTGATTACTGATGTACAGTAGGTGATTAATTAACCAAATGTTTATTTGTTTTGGGCCAACTAAACCTAGGGTACATAAAATCTATAAAAAAATTTGTCGCTCCGATTTTTTTGGGGTCTGTTCTCCAACACATATGGAACTTGGAAAAGGCTGACCTTGATGTTTACGACTCTATGTAGTGAAACTTTTTAATTAAGTGCATAAATATGGATGCAAAAAGTAGTTATTGGACACCCTAGGTAGCTGGAATGTATAATTAATGATGCATTTTGTCAATATGATAGTGTGGTATGATGAAATCTTTCAGATGCTAAAGTTTGTCTGTTTCCAAGAGATAAACTTGGTAATTGTATTGTATATTATAATTATGTAACGTGTACATGATATATAGATACAGTTACACTTTCATCCCTATAATATTATCTATTATCTATCGTCTAATATTCCACCGCAAGCTAAGGCCGGGGAGCGAGCCGCAGCTTGGACCGTAACTGTAGAAACCATTGTGAAGACAAAGGTTTTGTGAAGATGTCAGCAGTCTGATCATTTGTGTGGATATACTTAACCGATAGATTTCTTTGAGCTACCTTTTCTCGCACAAAGTGGAAATCTACTTCAACATGTTTAGTACATGCATGAAATACAGGATTGGCTGAAAGATAGGTAGCACCTAAGTTATCATACCACAATATAGGAACAGTCTTGAGAGGAACACAAGGTTCTCCAAAGAGAGTTTGAAGCCAAGTAAGTTCAGCCACCGTATCTGCGAGTGCCTTGTATTCGGATTCTGTTGATGACCGAGAGACAGTGCGTTGTTTGCGAGCAGACCAGGAAACAAGGTTGGAACCAAGATAGATTGCATAGCCCCCGGTGGATCGACGGTCATCTGGACAACCAGCCCAATCTGCGTCAGAGTAGGCTGTGAGGAACGGATCAGTGGAATCAGTATAAGCATGAAGCTGGAAAGCGGAGTGGCGTTGTAGTTTCAATCCATATGATGCAGTTCCTTGTAAATAACGGAGTATGCGTTTGATAGCAGACCAATGATTCTCTGTAGGTGAATGCATAAACTGACAAACTTTTTTTTACCGCAAATGTGATGTCAGGTCTCAAAAGAGTGACATACTGGAGAGCACCAACAATTTGGCTGTACCGAACCGGATTATCAAAAGCAACACTGTCACCAATAGCTAAGTTAGCATTGGTTGTCATAGGTGAAGAGACCGGCTTGGCAGCAGAGAGACCAGCCCGTTGTAGCAATTCGAGGATGTACTTTCGTTAAGATAAAATAATTAAATCCGGTTGATAGTGTACTTCGACACCTAGAAAGTATGACAAAACACCCATATCTTGTATGGCAAAGGATTTGCTTAAGTTATGTACCACCTCATCGATTGCTTGGGAGTTGTTACCTATGAGAATAATATCATCAACGTACACCAACATATACATTAGAACCCCTTGAGAAGAATAAACAAATAGGGAGTGATCGGTGCGAAACCCCCTAAAACCAAGAGCTAATAAAGCAGCGGACAACCCATGAAACCAGGCTCGTGACGCCTGTTTGA